ATCGTATTTCGTCGCCAATTTGTTAATTAATATTTTTGGCATGTGGTATAGCTCAGAACCGGTTCAAGTTAAGCCCATGATAAGTGGAAATAGAGTTGTTTTCGAGGATATGAAAGTAGGTTTGGGTTTTTCATTTCCGCAAGGAAAAACCGGGAAAACTGAATTTTGTCAAAAAGGGCAACGCTCGCCGTTGAATCCAGAATTCCAAGAAAATCTTAGCAGTTAGCACCGTATCCGATCAAGAGACCAATTAAATAAGCTAACCTTGCAAAGCAAACGACACCAGGTCCAATATTATCCCTGCTTTCGTTTCAAATTCTCATCCGTTTCCCGCAACGAAATTGTTTCTAAATAACAGCTAGCGGCAGGCGTCTGTTTTTCTTCCCATATTCCGCCACATGTAAGATTTCAGAAAGTCCTAGGGTAAAATTGAGCTTCACCATGGACTTGAAAGAGGATAATCAAACCATTTAATCATGTAGATCGAGAGTCCTTTGCCACATACGTTGAAGACAGGAAGAAAGCCGATACTAGTACAGATGTAACACACTCAAGCATTTGTCGCTAGGCAAAGTATGCAAGTTGTCACTTTTTCGATCATGTGTCATCTTTTTTATTTAACGCGGTCAACCTAGACATTCGCTCTTAGTTTTTTCTTGAAGTATTCCTCCTGCATTCCTATTTTTTTTTATCTAAAAATATCCTGTATTGCCATAACTCCTAATAACGCATCGTGGATCTATTGGAGGATCCGATTCATTTATCAAACAATCTAACGAAGTGACATAATACCTCCTCATCCCTTTCATCGTTTCATTTCAGTGGTTAACCAATCCATATCTGACAGCCAGTTAAACAGGAAGAAAGTAATGCGCTAACAAATTAGAAAGATGATCACGACGACAATGCAACGATAAGATCTTTGATGTATAGTTATCCGTTATCCATAATAGCCCACGTACAATGTAGGAGGAAAAATTACAGATCAGATCTCAGTGGGTAAGAGACGAAACTCAGGAAGAAATCGAACAAAAAATTCCACAAATGTCTTTACACAAGTCTGATTAAACCATGCATAAATATATTACTTTACATTAAATACTATTTACATTAATAGTTTTTCCTCAAGTTTATATAATGCGTGAAAATACAGACAGAGTTGTACCACTATCATATTTAACCCTTTAACTCCCATGAGTGACCAAGACAGAATTTCTCCTTACAATGTCAATACAATAACAAGCAGATAGGTGACAAGAAGCAGTAAACACATCAATTAGGGGGATTATTAGATGATCCAATACCAAATTCTCCTAGCTGACATCATGAGAATTGTCCAACAAGGTAAGGAGAATTACTAATGAGATCCTGGGAGTTAAAGGGTTGAGGGTGCTTACCAGTAGTCAGAGATGCCTCATTCAAACACCCCACTAATGAAAAGAATAAACAGGAAGATTCTTTAATTTTGACTTTTGCTCCAAGCTCAAGACAAATATCTTTCTCTGATAATTAAGAGGTCCATCAGAATTGCTAGGCTTGACCAGTAATTTCCTTAATTGTACCTATGGTTTAATGAAAGGTTTGTCACAGCTAAAGAAACCTATCCAAAATGACCAAC